GTAGAATCCCCTCACTGATTACACTGTAAGTGATAATCCACCTTAACCAAAATCAAAGTAGACTATCACTCACCCACACCAGATGAAAAACTCTACACATATATATATATATATATATATATATATATATATATTTTTTGACTGCACACACACACACACACAGAGTCACACACACACAGATATATATATATATATATATAGTCCTATCGTAAACGGCTATGCGCCTTCCTGTCCCTCTCTTCCCTTTCTCTCTCCCTCTTTCTCTTATGTAAAAAAAATATCCTTACCCCTATCTATCACCACAGAAAGTGGATCAGGAGGAATCACAGCCGAGAAAAAAATCATCTAGACCGAACTTACCTTTAGTTCGATCTATGAAACGACTTGAAAGGTGTAGAATAAGTGGAAGCTTTATAGACCAATTGCTCGGAGGGGGGGGCGCGCCTCACTCGTTTACACGTTCCTCCTATCCCCCATCTTTCGAGCTCGTCTCATAATCCTGTTGTGTTCCTTACCTCTCAATCCCCACAGCGGAATGCACATAAACTACCGCTTTGACTAGATACAGTGGAAATGACGATGCCTTGTATTCATGGGATGAACGATTGTTTTTTCCTCGTGATTGTCTGTACTTTCCTTTTCTCGATCCCTCTTTCCTTTCTTGCGATCTTACTCATTCTACACCCCGCTCATTTTTCCCCTGTTCATTTCCCTCGATCCCCGTTCTAACTAAATCCCGCTCACTTTCTCATTTTCCTGTGTGTGTTCGCCTGATTGCTTGTTATTTCGTTTGCTTTCACTCACGACCGCGTGTCGACTTCCACTTCACTTCACGCTTGCTCCTACTACTGCTCGAGCCTGCTTTCCCACACTCGTCCTTACTAACTTCTGCATCCGTACTTACGATGTTCAACTTGCTCTCTTACTCCTCCCCATTTCTTACTACCACTAGTCGTTCCTCATCTTTGCTAACCTCATTGCTCCTCCTTTCCCGTTTTGCTATCCTGCTAGCGCCTGTATTCGCGTTTATTTCTTCGTACTTACATCGCCGAAATCGCAGCCAATATCAAATTAATATAATATTATTATAATAATAATAATAATAATAATAATAATAATAATAATAATAATAATAATAATAATAATAAAATAATAACAACGATAATAATAATAATAATAATAATAAAGAGCAAAAATAATGCATACGTACTATCTTACCGGTCCGATGCAGCCGAAGTGAGGGTGCTGAAGTAGAGATTTGGTGAGTCACACCGTCGACTCCCTCATCTGCAAGTAACGGGCAAACGGACCGCCATCGGTGATCAGGCTTCAATCATCGCAAGACGATGAGCGAGGGTGAACGTAACAATCCACAACCCGGTACGAGTGCATGAGAAGCCTCGACAGCCGCGACGGCCGCCAGCGACGACCGGGCTGCGGTGAAATAAGCCTCTCCGAGAGAAGCGACCATGAACCCGCATGGTGCTGCAAAAATGTACGATCGTCCACCAAAGAATGACTCGCCCGTCTCTCGCAAACTAGAAACGTGTACAGGGAATCCTTCGTAACTAAAGTATGAGGTCTCATGCCCGACACATCGCCTTCATCGCCTGTAAGGGAGGTAACTCCTCCTTCCCCCCTTCTTCTTGTTCTTGTTGTTCTTCTTCTTCTTCTTAGCGCTCGTCTTACTGTCAGGGCCCCTTTCCTCGTTATCATGATGTCCTACCCCTGTCCCTTCCGTAGTCGATCCTTCACGGCGCAATTCAGACGTATGCACGCCTTTCTTTCTCTCTCTCATACACATACACACGCGTACACATGCATGCACTCACCTACGTACGCACATACACGCGCACCCATGTGTAGGAGTAGCAATGTATGTCCCCGTGCTTTAACTGTGGATACTTCTGATCTTGCTCATTTCCCAGAGGGAATCATCAAATCGCTACGCGATTTACGCACGCACATTCACTCACTCACGCACAAACATACGCACTCATGTTTACACTTACATGCAACTTGTATGCATCCCTGTCCTAGTGGTAGATTCATACGCTCTAGCACATCCCCTCGATGGAAAGGACGTAGAACCTTCGCTAGTCTTTACTCACACACATGTGTAGGAGTGCATTTCTCCCAACCTTGCGGTGGATTCGTCCTATTTAGATCATCCTTTAGATGGAAGTAGCGTGAGGTAGTCACAGGGTTTGGGCATGCATATTCCCTCGTTCTAGCAATAGATACATTTGTTTTCAGATCATCCTATTGATTGAAGTATCGGGTAACAGGTCGCTAGTTTTGAAACTTACCTCGCTTTCCCTCTCGCTCCGCTGTCGCCGTCGCCGTTGTTAGTCGAACACTCGCGAAGTGTCCTGCTCTGCCAAGTTGCCAACGCAGCCCGATCTCCTACGATGTGCAGTATACTGTGACCACAGCCCACC